AGATTCCTGCATTGCAGGGGCTTGGACCGGATGACCCTTGGGTCCCTTCCAACCCTGAAATTATGTGATTCTCTGATTCTGTGACAAAATCCTGCAGAATTGGAAGAACAGCAAGCAGGAACTTGCCTTGCGTGTCACCATCCACCTCTGCCTTCAGGGCAGGGAACACAATCAGCCGACTTGCTCTACACAACTGGCATGAGCTGCCAGTGCTGATCAGGTATTTAGCACTACGTGCTAAGAGGAAGCCACATTGGCAAATCCACACCATGATCAACTCCCGCCCGGAAACCAATGTCCTCACTGTAGAAGGACGCGTGGATCCAGAATTGGCCTCCTCAGTCACATAAACACTGTTAAAACCGTGTTTATGGAAGACAATCTTACTCAGCTACAAGTGATCGCAGAAGAAGAGGAAGAAGAAGAAGAAGATTTAGCACTAAAAGAATTGGCTGGGGGGAAGTGGTGAGTCAAAGGCAAAACCACTCGGACCATGTATAGAAAGCATGGGACAAGTGAAAACAGCTTGGACCTGTGCTTTCTAGACACAGGACACCCCACATGCCCGTCGCACACACATGACATTACACACGCTCTCATGTCAAGAGTGTGAGATGTGTGCATGACTGGAGGAGACCGAGCATCGTGAAGTCCGACCTTCGCCCTGGCGTGTCCCTTGGACAATTGGGAAGGTATGTTGGTGAGCTCAAAGGGATGTGCCAAGGCAAAGTGCCTTCACCTTGCCCGGCCCTTTGAGATCACCAGTGTGCCTTCCTGCCCATCAAAGAGATTGTCGGAAAGTCTGACACTGAGGGGGTTCAGCCCTCTGCCCAAAATAAGAGGGGGCTGAAGACACTTCCGCCCCATGAGGTTGGCACGCCTGCCTGCATGTGCCATTCTACTGCCCATTCACCCAGTTTGGAGACATCCTTCTGGAGCCCTTCACAACTCTGTTTTGTTTTAACTACCTTGGATAATTTGGTGACACCAGCATATTTTGCCACCTTCCTGCTCACCCCAACTCAAGAGCATTTATGGGCAAGTGAAAAGCACTGGGCCTAATACAGTTTTTTGGGGGGGACCCACTTTTTACTAGGGGTGGAGGGGAAATTAGGTTCACTTTACGTTTAAATATAGAACTCTCTGATTAGCATTTCCTGAAACAATACGTGAACTGGAAGAGTTAGCATCTGAAACTTTCACTTTTCAGAATTTTGTGGTGCAATCTTCCAACCAACCAATGTGTGCAAAAATGTTAATATGAATTCCTATATCAGTGAAAATAGCATACAGAAGCACATTATATTAGGGGAAATTGTTTGCAAAAATGTGTCTGTTGGGAGAAATTCATGCTAAAATGCAGGTGAAACTTCATGAGGACTTTTTTTTGAGGGGGGGGGATCAAAAACTGATGCAAAAATGTGCCAAATGGGAAAATGGGAAACTGAAATTGACAGATTTCTCCATCCTTATCTCTTATTTTTGCACATCACTCTCCTCTCTGCTTCCTTTCTTTAACCAGCTACCAGTTTAAAAATGCTACTCATTTCATTAGATGCCTTGGATATATTAAATTTGATGTTTATACCTGTTATTATTTTTTCCCCAGGCAGGAGAGGAAAAGAACTTCACGAAGGAGATTAAATTATTTTACTAAACTGTTCCTCTTTTGGCCCAAAGCACAACCTTTAGACAAGTGAGAGATTTGCCATTACAAAATGCAGAAAACATGCCGAGCTGGAGGACTGCATTTTTGGGTGGGGAGTTCTCTGAACTGATGTACTTTGGACGCCGTCATGAGTTAAAGTGCGTAATTTCTTCCAAAGACTATAGAGCCTCAGTGCAGAAGTGACATCAGAATTGTGGCCTTTGCAGCCAGGACTGAATTGAAGAAACAGACTCTCTTTTGCCCACCTTTGATCCATCCTTATCTTTTCAGCTGCACACTGCAATATTGTATATAGATTTATGGGAATTCTTTCCATGTTCACAACTTATAAAGTATTAATAGTCGGTCCAAGTTGGAAAATAATACACCATTCCTAACTCTATTAAGGACATAAAAATCTGGCTTTGGTTAAAATGAGATTCCCTTTAGCAATGGCCAATATACAGTATGTATTATGAGTATATAAAAAACCAGACCTCTCCTTATCTGACGTACAGCAACATTAAGATTACTGCCCGAGGCTCAGCAAACTTCAAACTTAGAAAGTAAGATTGAGAGAGAGTGAAGGGGTGCAGGCAATCATTGGAAAGTAATTACTGGTAACCCGAGCAGTCACTTTCAAGTAGATTTCATCTAATAAGACCTATACACAAATGTAGTTTTATGTTGATAGACTGACGTATGACAGGAACGCCATGGTACAGATGCACAGCACAATGCTTTACTGCCCTGTTATTCCGCAAGCTGCCTAGAACGCCTTCCTCTTCTAAGCCTTCGCATCATTGGCAATGGCGTTTTCAGTAAACAAGCATGGAAGATTCTAACCAGAGCTGAATTCCTGCACCCAATTGGGCTGTTGAAATCCTACTGAAGTTCTTGGGACTTAAGCCATGGAGAACCGCCACCATCAGGCATATCATTTTAAACCTGACTTTGGATTGTACCCAACGTAGTGCTAAGTTAACGTCACTTGGACCTGTTCGGCTGGCAAAATGTTTTGTGCCTGTGGAACGCTGTTGTGCAAGAAAACGCCTAAGCAGGTTGTCTGTTTCACAATGGGTTTCTGCTAGTGCAACGGTAGCACTGGATCCCTCCACTGGGCAAAATAAAACTCACCCATCTGCTAGCGCAATAGGACTTGCACTGGAGGACAGAGAACTTTTCCGGAGGTACCAAGACGTGCAGCCCAATCCCATCTAAGGATGGGTGATGTGCCAATACAGTGTTCAAAATTGTTTTGAAGTCCACATCGTGGACATATATTCAACATGGTGATGTATCGCAAATCACAATGTGTGTGTGTGTGGGGGGGGCTTTGTAAAAAAAAATTGTGACGTGAGGAAAACTGTGATGCCTTCCATTGCACCTCCTGTTGCTCTGTACAGTCGTACCTTGGTTGACGAACGCCTTGCAACTCGAACATTCTGGCTCCCGAACGGCACAAACCTGGAAGTGAGTGTTCCGGTTTGTGAACATTCTTTGGAACCTGAACGTTTGACGCGGCTTCCAAACATTTTGGAAGTCGAACAGACTTCCGGAATGCATTCCGTTCGACTTCCGAGGTACGACTGTACTATAAAATAACAGTTGTAAGAATATGTTAAAGGTAGGTACAAATGTATCAGACCCTGAAGTTTATGAGATTATGCCGTTTGCCTTTACATAGTTACATCCTTAGGAAGACACAAGAACTTCCTACGCTGGAGGAATGGCAGATGAAACTAATGGACTATATGGAATTGGCGGAAATGACTGGTAGAATCCGTGACCAGGGAGAAGAGTCGATGGAGGAAGACTGGAAGAAATTCAAAGACTATCTTCAGAAACACTGCAAAATTAAGGAATGTTAAAGTGATGTTGGACTGAAAATAAGTGGTTTCCAGCTGCACAGGTTAAAGTTAATGATAGACTAAGATTAAAGATCAAGATTAAAGATGTTTAAAGAAATGGAAATTTGATATTAAAAGGGAAAATTTTAACGTTATATGATACTAAGATCAAGGATTAGGTTTAAAGAAGTTGAAGTTATATATTTTAACATTTTATTAAATTAAAGATTGGGATTAAAAAGTGGAAAAGAAACTGCTGGACAAATAATTTGGATTGGAATACAAAAGAGGGAGGTATGAGGAAGTCCAGAAAATAAGTAATCTAAAAATGGAAATGGAAAAGAGAGTTTGTTTTTAATTGTTATGTTTTTTGTTTTTTATTGTTGAGTTTTGTATTGCTTTTTGTGTGTGTTGTTTCTTTGTTGTTTAAAACTTTAATAAAAATTATTTTTTAAAAATAATAATAATACATAGTTACATCCTTATTTCAGACATCATGATTTATCAATATTTTATTATGTTTAGCTGGTGATATATCATGACACTGAAAACCGGACACCACTTAGCCCTAATCCTGTCCAAAGTAATCCCTACTGTGTCCAGTGGGACTTACTCCTAGGGTAAGTGTGCACAGGACTTCAGCTTTAATTTCACTTATTACACTACATTTTGGGCACCTTGTGTCCAAGGTGGATCCTGGACCTCTGCATTTTGAACCAGATTAAAGGCTGAACATTAGCAGCATCTTCCTAAAGGGAAGTGCTATTTGACAATGGAACAAACTACCTTGGGAGGTGGTGGGATCCCCTTTGCTAGAGGTGTTTAAGCACAAGCTGGATGCCCCCTTGGACTCAGCCGTACAACTGCAAATACAGTGGTACCTTGGGTTACATACGCTTCAGGTTACGGACTCCACTAACCCAGAAATAGTACCTCAGGTTAAGAACTTTGCTTCAGGATGAGAACAGAAATTGTGCAGCGGCGGCGCAGCGGCAGCAGGAGGCCCCATTAGCTAAAGTGGCGCTTCAGGTTAAGAACAATTTCAGGTTAAGAACAGAACTCTAGAACGAATTAAGTACTTAACCTGAGATACCACTGTAAAACATTTTAAGTGTGTTATAAAGTGCATTATACAAATGTGACACTAGATGGCGATGGTGAGCTATGACAAATTTAATATATATTTCAAGATGTTTTTTTAAAAAGCATTTTCACAGTGTTTTTATATGTGTGTAGATTCCACCCTTGTCAGGGATGCTGGGGCTCAGTAAAAGTCTGTGGGGTGTTGTTGTTCCCATGGCTTCCCAATGTGGAGGTCACTGCTGGTGGGGGGGGCAAGGTGGTGGGGATCTTGGTGCAGTGCAGGCACAATGTTGGCAGCATCAGATTGGCTCTGAATATAAGAAGAGCCTGCTGGATCAGGCCAGTGGTCACAGAATCATAGAGTTGGATGGGACCCAGAGAAGCATCTAATCCAACCTCCTGCAATTTAGGAATATGCAATTAGCCGATACGGGGATTGAACCCACAAGCTCAGCATTATCAGCACCATGCTCTAACCAACTGAGCCACCACACCAGGTCCATCCTGTTATCACAGTGGCTAACCAGACGCTTGTAAGCAGGACCCAAGTACAAGAGCACTTTCCCATCCCGTAGCTTCCAGCAACTGGCATTCAGAAGCACTGCACTCAGTTTTACGTGTAATGAAATGCAAAGGCCAATTGTTAAGGCGTCTATCTGTTTCTTGGTTTCAACATTTACATCCTGCCTCCTTACTCCTACATTAAGTTTAAATTTAAAAAACAAAATAAAAGTTCACTCAAAAAAGTGGAATATAAAAAATGAACTTTTAAGAATGCAAAAATTAAACTGAGAGCCTAAAATTACAGCAATAACAAACAGAAGCAATAAAAATATGGCAATGAATGGCAGCAGTGCAAAAAAAAAAAAAAAAGTGGCACTAACTATATATCTTAAAAAGTGCACTGAAACCAAACAGTTTTGAATGCAAGCTTAAATGCAGGCAAAGAAAGGGTCCAATGAAATCCTCTAAGACTGCTGCCACATTGGGCAAGGGTCAGTGACATAGCAGCTAATTTCCATGCATGAGATTCTGTGATCAAGCCCTATTTTCCCGGGGGGGGGGGGTGCTGGGGAAGACCCCAGGATGAAACCCCAGAGAGCCGCTGACAGATGATACTGAGCTAGATAGAGCAACAGTCTATGTTCCTACAATCTAGAGCCCTTTAGGAAGGCTGTTCTATAATCCAGGTCAGGGATGGGGAATATGGCCCTCCAAGTGTTGTTGGACTCCAACTCCCATCTTCGTTAGCCGTGCAGGTGGGGGCTGATGGGAGTTCCTGGCAGATGAATCATTGCTGCCTAACAAGCAATCCAGCACTCCTGCTGGTTCATTTGTACCACAATGGACTCCTCATTGCCTCACCCCTCTCCCTCCCAGAAAGCAAAAGCAACCCACCTGCAGGGAAGCTAGTGTAGTGGCTCCATTCCACCCAGCGGTGACACTTTTGCATGAAGGTTTTTCTTCTAGCTGGCTTTCTGGTAGCTGAGCTGCCCATAGGATGGCAACAGATCAGACTGGCAGATCAACGGTGTGCCACCAAGATGTCTGCAAACATGACATGAAGGTTGGCAACATCAACCCTGCAGCGTGGGAATCCCTTGCAGACGATCGCAGTGCCCGGGGAGAGACAGGTTGTGAATCCATAGCAGGGACCAGAGGAGAAATGGCCACTGGGAGGAGCACAGAGAGAAGAAAAGTCATGGTGCATCTGCAGCAGCACAACCGGGCATTTGCATCTGCCCCAGCTTCAACAAAACATATCTCTCCCATATCGGTCTCTACAGCCACAGAAGACACTGTAACCATCCAAGAGTTTGACTTCACCCAAAAGGAGTACTCCTCCATTGTATCCTGAGACAGACAGATGCCAACAAGAAGAGCTTGGGACTACTAGGAATGTCCTTAGTGCATCTTCCTGGAGCTTAATTTCATTGTGTTCCATTGTGGAGGGTAAGTGGGATGCAATTCAGGTTGAGTTCACTGGTTCTTCACTACGAGCGCATGAATCCACCAATTTTGGTTTCTCTGAGCTGCTTTATTTTCCCAGCCTGAAGTTCAGTTCTCTGCAGTTCTGCATCTGTTTGTGAAATACTTTCTCATAGGAAAACGTGTTGGTGTTTTAATGCACATTTATTTCAATATGCGCATCTTTGTATATTTTCTTTCATGAGTATATCTATTTCTATTCAGGCCTGCCCTGAATATATGCACTTTTGCACACATCTTTACTGCAAAATTTGAAGAAATGTGAATTTCACATTCGAAGAAATGTGCGTTTCTGTTTGTTTATTGTTTAGGGAGGTGAAATTAGGTCTATTTGCATTAAAATGTGAACTGAACTGAATTTCTCCCCCACCCTAGTCTATCCTTAGCCCAACTAGCATTGGTTGCCCCAGTCACTCTGGGCAGATTCTAACATATATAAAAAGGTAATGACACACTAAAAGGCTTCCTTATACAGGGCTGTCTTCAGATGTCTTCTAAAGGTTATATAGTTATTCATCTCCTTGACATCTGATGCATAATGGCTGGTGCAGGCTTTCTACACAATGGATGGGCACTGGCCTTCCAAATTTTCTTTTTTTAATGCAATGCTATTCAGGTCTATTCAGAGGTAAACTCAGGTAAGTGAGTTTAGGCCTGCAGCTTCAAGATTTAAACTCATTAATTTGTGTGTGCATGTGTGTGTATGTGTAGAACAGAGTCAAATATAGCTAGTCAAATATTGAATAAACAACGCGATAAATTTCCTATGCCAGATACCTGTGAATTTGTGCTTGTTATTGAAACAACCCCCCAGCCTGTTCATTTGCCTGCCATCCGTGTGTTTGTATATGCCGGAGCCCTCCATAAAATTCAGGGCAAGTGCTTAGACCCGGGTCCTTTTTCCTATCCATTACTGCCGTTTTGAAGAGTAAATCATAGCTGTCAGTATGGTAGCAGCTTGATTAAAGTTCAGGGGTTTAATAGATCATTTTAAAAACCCCAAATTACTCCGGCTCCCTAGTCGATCCACCTGGACCCTTGCCCTAGGTGCATGGCAGTTTTCAACCAGCACCAGAGAAGCCAAGTCTGGGCCCCGAGGTTCCTGCTTATTCCCCCAGGATGCCTTGTTGCAGACCTAGACCAACATTCTCAGCTGTATTTAATCTGCTCTGAGACAAGCTGGCTATGAGAAAATGCAAAGGGGGGAGAGAAAAAGGCACATAAGCAGAAAGACGCAGGGAAAAAAGTTGGACAGTTGGCCTGCTTTGTTCACTTGGTAAACTGGAGGCCAGCCAGCTACAGCGGAGCTCCCTTGGCAATACAAGTCTGTTCCAATTAATCGTGTTTAACCATTCTAATCACACTTTAGCACATTAATCCTATTTTCAATCCAAAACACATCTGAAAGAGCGGCATGTGGGCCTTTTTATAGCAACCGCAAATCAGATGTAACGGAGAGACAGAGGGCCCTAGTTTACTCTGCACTTTCACTGAACTTAGACTTAATAAAATATGTGACTGACTTGTGGTTGGATTTACTGCATGATGTTGATGCTTCCACATATAAATAGATCCCCTAAGCAACTTAAAAACCTGTCAGAAAGAGCAGCGAAAATTTGATTATAAGGTAACCAATGCACAGACTGTGCAACAATGACACCGTTCGTCTGGGCTTGGGGCTGGGGAAGAAGATGAAGGGACCAACCCAAATTTCTGGTCATATATATAGAGAGAGACAGAGAATGAGTTCGGTATCAGAACTGCAGAAGGCACTGCGTCGACTCTTAGACTTAAGCCACATTCATAGTGCATTTAAAACACATTTAAAGCCACAGACATGGCTTCCCCCAAGGAATTCTGGGAGCTGTAATTTGTTAAGGGTGCTAAGAGTTGTTCGGGTTTTCGCTCATGGAGCTACAGTTCTCTTTGTGAAGAGAGACTGGTCATTATACCACTCTAGAAATTGTCAGAGAATCTTAACAAACCTTGGTACCCTTATGAAACTGCAGTTCCCAGAGTTCTTTCGAGGAAGCCACGGTTGTTTAAAGCGGTACCGCACTGCTTTAAATGTAAGGTGTGACTGTGGCCTTTGCAGCAGAAAGAAAACAATACTGGAAACTGTTTTCCTCACGGGACTTAATTTCATCCTTGTTTGATTCCACCCACACCATAAAGCAGGCATGGGGGGGACCTGTGGCCCTGAAGATGGTTCTGGATTCCAGTTCCCATCAGTCCTGACCAGCATAGCCCAATAATCAAGGATGATGGAAGCTGTGGGTTGAATCAAATGACTAGAAATACAGTGGTACCTCGGGTTAAGTACTTAATTCATTCCGGAGGACTGTTCTTAACCTGAAACTCTTCTTAACCTGAAGCACTACTTTAGTTAATGAGGCTTCCTCCTGCTGCTGCGCCGCCAGAGCACAATCTCTGTTCCCATCCTGAAGCAAAGTTCTTAACCCAAGGTACTATTTCTGGGTTAGCGGAGTCTGTAACCTGAAGCGTATGTAACCTGAAGCATATGTAACCTGAAGCGTATGTAACCCGAGGTACCACTGTAAGGATGAACCCAAGTTCTGCCATACCTGTGGAGAAGTTGTCTGCTGTGTTGATTCCTTATTATTATTATTTAAATGCTTTCATGCCAACTAGTCATCCATTCAAGGTAGTTCACAGGTTTGTTTAGAAAAACAGCAAAGATATAATAAGAACGGCCTTACAATGTTTCTTTTAAAAAGCAACACAATTCAGTCAAGTGACAAACATGCTGTAGGTTACAGTGTTCTCTGAGCTTTGATGGCTTGTCAAACTCCTGGCCCACCTATTGGGGTAATCAGTACTTTTTTTCCTAAAAGAATGTTTAGGGGTACTGTCATTTTGACTCAAGAAAATCACCATTTTATAGTTCAAATCGGGGAAAATAAATAAAGTAAATACAATGAAACTGACCAATCACTGTGCTAGATTCCAACTCCTTGTTGTAGTTTAGTCGTTTAGTCGTGTCCGACTCTTCGTGACCCCATGGACCAGAGCACGCCAGGCACTTCTGTCCTTCACTGCCTCCCGCAGTTTGGACAGACTCATGCTGGTAGCTTCGAGAATACCATCCAACCATCTCATCCTCTGTCGTCCCCTTCTCCTTGTGTCCTCCATCTTTCCCAACATCAGGGTCTTTTCCAGGGAGTCTTCTCTTCTCATGAGGTGACCAAAGTATTGGAGCCTCAACTTCACGATCTGTCCTTCCAGTGAGCATTCAGGGCTGATTTCCTTAAGAATGGATAGGTTTGATCTTCTTGCAGTCCATGGGACTCTCAAGAATCTCCTCCAGCACCATAATTCAAAAGCATCAATTCTTCGGCGATCAGCCTTCTTTATGGTCCAGCTCTCACTTCCATACATCACTACTGGGAAAACCATGTCATCATATAATCCTTCTGCTCAGAAAGTGCTGCCTGTTGGCTCCTGGGCTAAGTTCAAGTTGTTAGTATATCAAGCCCTTAAC